CAGTCACACTCACTCACTCATACTCACACACTCACACATACACACACACACACACACAGAGAGAGCTTATCAAAATCAACAGCGCACGGAGCGGCGACTGCTGAGCCCGTGGAATGTCTAGAGATCTTTGCATCCAAGCAGTCCAAGTGGGAGCCACAAGTGCACCAGAGACAAGCCTTCTTGGTGCCGCTAGACATGTGGAGAGGGCCGTCAGCAGACAACAAAACCGGACGGAATGGCGGGCTGGGTCATGGCATCGTCCTAACGATCAAATTCGATCCTTGTCCAAACATTGACTGCGTGGTGTATCACACGTCCCGAGAGACTCACCTCCATCCACTGGTGCTCTCGCCGGGCAGCGCTGGTGCTGCTATTCTCCTCCTGCTCGTGCTGGAGCAGTTGTTGTTGTTGTTGATGTTGTTGTTGCTGCTGTGGCGCAGGTCCCGTACGGTGGCGCGGGGCGGGCAGGGGGGCGGGGGCCGCGCCGGCCGCAGCTGGAGCCGCCCTGGAGAACCCTGCCTGCGGGCCCGGCTTAAGCTCCAGGACACTCACACACACTCACAGACACACACACACACAGAGGAACGCGTGTCCCGTTGCACGCGGTGCGCGCGGCGGGCGCGGTGTGGGTGCAGCACTGCTCGTCCTTGCCCAAGCAGACGACGCTCCCCGCCGGAGCGCGCTGGAGCGGCGTGCTGGAGGAGGCTCCGGGGGCGCTGAACTCGGCGGCGCTCCGCGACCACAGTCTTCTCACGGCATGGGCGCTCGGGCCGCGGCCGCGCAAGCTGAGGGCTGAGCCCGCGGACGGCCCCGCGAGCCACTGCCGGGCCAGCCTAGGCGGCGCGAGCTGTGGAACCCTCGGGCCGTGCAGGAGGAGTCTCCGCGCCGCGCTTCATGCAGGACGCCAAGCGTCAGCGGAGGCCAACTTGTTGAATGGCTCGGAGGCGACGATGCTGGTGTTCGCCTAGAAGAACCTCTGAGCACCACACTCGTCTTGCACTGTAATCCTCTCACAACACACGCATCACAACACACGCGCCGACACGCACGCGCGCGCGCACACACACACGCTCCCACGAGGACTCCGTCGAGCCCTTCCCGATCAGCGAGTGACAACGCGCAGCCCGGACGAGGGCAGCCTCAGGTCACGGCGCGGGTCTCGCAGGGGGCTCCGAAAGGGTTCGGCCCAACTCCGGCACGGGGGTCAGGGGCGTCGCGGCGAGCGTGCCGGGGGCCGCACGTCCTCACGCGGACGTTGACTCCTGCTCGGGCCAGCGCGGAGCCGGGCCGACGAGCAGGGAGGGGCCGAGCGCAGCCAGAGCGGGGCGGGAGCACACT